GTTGTTAGATGTCCTGGGGCTGCCACTGCTGACATGGACTTCTGAGAACTTTACAATAGTCCCAAATGATATTTTATAATGATAAAATATTTTATAATTTTTATAAATACAATTATATTTATAATTTTATAAACATAATTATATTTTAAGATCATCAGAGTGGGGAAAGCTTACATGGCAGTTACAAATTATCAGATTTACCTAAAATACACTAAGGTTTACAGAACACCCTAAACCAAGGGTCTCCAAACTCCACAAGTCTTAAAGTTGCCAAGCTTGGAGATGCTGCTCCTAAACCATGAGATATGGTTTTAGCTTAGCAAGTTCTGTAATTTATTAACAAGAGTTTGCAGCTTAGCACAATCTGTGAATCCAGTTACTGGTTGGATTGTCACATTTTTGTTTGTTTGTTATATTAACATAATTCTGTGGCAAATGTTTTGTCTCTGTGCTTGTGTGTGTGTGTGCACGCATGTGTGTGTGTCTGTGTGCATGCGTGTGTGTGTATAGTATGCATGTGTGCCTTCAAGTATTGACTCCTGCCAACTGCATAGACAAGTCCATGTAGTTTTCTTGGCAACATTTTGGAAACGGTTTGCCATGGCCTTCTTTCTAGAGCTGAGAGAGAGTGACTGTCCCAAAGTCACTCAGCTGACTTCTTACCTAAAATAGGACTAGAACTCAGTCTCCTAGTTTCTGGTCTGGTATCTTAACACCTTCTAGGTCAGGGGTCCCCAACCCCTGATCTGTGGACCGGCACCGGTCCGTGGCATGCCAGCAACCAGTCCGCACAAACAAGCAAAGCCCCATCCATGGGATGCAGGTAGTATATGAAACCATGCCCCCTCCGGTCCGCAGAAAAACCTCTCTTCACGGAACCGGTCCCTGGTGCTCAAAATGTTGCGGATCTCTGTTCTAGGTTATATTCCAAAACAGATTTTGGAAACAGAAAAGAAAAAAAATGAAGTAGAGTCAGATTCCATTTTAAGCAACACCCCCTAAATAATGAATGTCTCTGTTTCAAGGTTTCAAAATATACTGTTTTTATTTTCCCTCTTTCTTTTGATAATCGAAGTTGGCTGATCTGGAGTCTCTTCTTATTTTATCCTCACAACAACCTTGTGAAATAGATTGGGCTGAGAAATAGTCACAGTCTCAAATATCCCCCAAACTTCATGAATGTTAAGGTTTCCATGAGAGTTTTCCATTCTGACCAGATTTTTTTTAAAAAAAGAATACATTGAATTCAGTGAGATTTCGTTGCCTTAAACCTATCCTGACTGTTCAGATTTTCAATGAATGAAATTGTTAATAAGACACTACATAAAGTACATTCCCAATTACTTAGAACAGACCAGAATACACTGTCTTACTGAAGTGACAATCTCCTGAATGAGAGATTCTTCATATTGCTAAGGCTCACTCACAGCTGCTGTCATAGTTCAAAAGTAGGCTAGATATACAATTGTGTGGCATGCACATACTGAAAAGCTGTCTGGTTTATTGTCCAATGATTCACCATTCTGTAAATGAATAATTCCAGACATGGAAATGCTGCCTTATTAGCCTAGAAAGGTATAAAATACATTCCTCATTCCTAACTATCAATAGCTAACAAGGTTTTATGAAAGAAAGATTGCCCGTGTGATCTTCCATTGAAATATGCAATCATCAAGGAGTGTTTGTTCAGTACATTCTTAGGAATATTCTCAGCGTCTGGATTTACACATTGAGCTTAACCATAGTTGACCCATGATTTGTAGAATAAAATTGGGTTCACTCAATATACTGCTGTAGATAAACATAATTGGGGTTAAACAATATGCTAGGTCACAAAAAAAGCAAATCACATATTGACTTATTGTGAGAACCTAGCCAATCTTTGTGGGCAATCAACATAATCCACAAGGGCAAACAACATAACATCATAATCCACAAGTGATACATATTAAGCATGTGCATGACAGAGATGCAGGAACACAGTAAATGTGAAAAAGATTTTCTAAATAAAGAAGTTTAAACTATACAAAATGCTTTGTTTCAATAAAAATAAGATCCCACACTTTATTTTAGGTTTTAGATTTTGTAATATTATTATGAGATGGAAGACGCATAATACTTCAAGTGTTGAATGAAGACTATAATTTGCGTATATTAATTTTGTAAATTCAAATTACATTTGAGGCAGTTGTAAACTTTGAAACTAATCTCTTCATTTTAAAGAAAGCAAAAATTTAGCAACATAAATCCAATTAGATTTACCCCATCATAGATGTGAAGTTTGAATTTTTGATGTTTAATATCCATATCAACTGATGAGATTGGAGACTGTTTCTTGAATTGGAGATTGGAGACTGTTTCTTCATTGAGTAAGATATTTAGATTCCAAAAACAAAGAAAAATGTTGCTGTGGCTGATTTTTGAGCCATCCTGTGGGTTCTCCTTCACATCTCTCTAACCATAAGAGAAAGTTGCCCCATAACTGTTTTAATTTACATAAACAATTTTTACCACCATCCATCTCACAACAACGACTCTAATGGCCATAGAGGATTAAACTTTTCAAAAAACAAAACATAACTTAAAAATAAACCCTCAAAACAATCATATGATACCCATCTGAAGTCTAAAATCCATTCCATTTCCAATTACTGAAGAAAAGAACTAGACAAACCAACCAATAGGCCCAAATGTCTGAAAGAACATCCAGGTCTCTAATGCCTTATGAAAGGCCAACAGTTTCAGTGCCATCTGGTGCTGTGGCAGAGGAGGCATGACTCAAGTCCCAAAGGATAACATTACCTAACAGAAGAGAAATGGAGCATGCTGATCTACTGGTGCTTTAAAAAAAATGTTATGACGCTGCCCTTTTCTCATGCTGACTCTACTTCAGATCCATATTTACCTTATCCATAAGGTAAAGTAGTGTTTCTCTCTTCTCCCAACAATGGTATCATAGTACTGGAGGCTAAAGAGCTAACTCTCCCCTTCCTATTAGCTAGCCCAAAAAAGAGCTGACAAGGGATTAGGGGCATAAGGGATACTAGTGTTTCACCACATGGCCGCCCAATCCAATCAGGCTGTTTTCAGGCAACTTTTAAAGACAGATTTGGAGCTCTTGTGAAAGAGTACAAGATCCGTGTTTCGCTCTTTATTTCTCCTGCCAGCCTGAAAAATAGGTGATAGGCAAGAGGGTAGTCCACCCACCACCTTTGCCTGTTTAACTACTCTTGCACTCTTCCAGAGGCACACTAAACCTGTGTTCAAAAATAATTTTATAAACCACTGAGGATGGAGAAGAGGCCCTGTCAATTAGCTTGTGTTTAGAGCTATCATCTCTCTTGCTTTACTAGACTGTGTGCTTACCCATAAATCTACAGTACAGGGCTTGAAGTGCAGAGTAGGGGAAGGCTTCAGTGCATCCTACAGATTATTTGTTGGGTGAATGTTGCCCTATAAAGCAGAACAATGACAGCTCAGAACCATGTTTTGACAAATGGTTAAACCCATGATCTACTTGTCTATTAAATATTCCTTGCCAGCAGGTGACACAAGAGGAATTGAACAGTTTCCTTAAATTGTCCAGGATCACATTTGCAAAGACATCATCAGTTATTGGCCTTATTACTGGCTCTGCAAAGAGGACAACACACGCTAGCACATTTTTGTACTACTTTATGGACTGGAGGAAAAGTACAATAGATAGAATATAAGGGAGCCTACAGATATGTGAATCAAGTCTTTTCAAATACAAATTGTTATTGAGTTGAATGAGGAACTATAAAGTTCTTGCTATGAAGGAATGAAGAAATGACTGAGTTTCCTATTTTCTGAGAATATAAATTCCAATTGTTAAAAAAAATAAAGGTTCATTTCCTCCTATGCAAGACATTGATGGAAAACAGTAAAATCTATAGCTGTTCCTATAGTTGTGTATACTCAGCTTAATTTTAAATGCCTATACTTTTCCTGTATTATTTATTTACTACATTTTTGCTTTTTTTGGGAAATAGTTTAAAGTATTTTATCTCACAGAAGTTTGATTATAATAACTACAGTAGGTAGCTGTGCTATTAAATATAACAAAGACAATCAATGTCTAAAAGCCTTATTTAAGTATCCCATTGAGCTTGGTAATTTCTTTTAGAGAACTAAGAAGTTCCTTGTATTTCAAGTTATCTCACTAAGTACATTATCTTGGCTATATCTCATTTTCAGTATTTGTTATTTCTAAAAGAGTGGCAATATATGAGCAAAGTTAGTAAATAAATAAAAGCTCATTCAAGACTAAAATATTTGCTGTGGCTTCAAATACACCATTTGTGCCCTGCTGGCTCTGAGGAAAGAAAATAATATTGTTGTGGCTGAAGCTATGGCTGAAGGCAGGTGTGTAAGTAGATTTTTTTTTTATTTTTTTTTTAGAGTTATACCTCATCATTGTTCCAGAAGATCAAGCAGCTTATGTAACGTTTACTCTTCCAGTTTTCACCCTGACTGGCCCAAAGTTTCTCCGAGAATTTCCATGGGTCCCTCGACCTGGTCCAAACAGTGACTATCTTCACCGTTTCATTTCTCTCACGAACTTTTATCAGAAACTGCTGAAGATCCATCAAGCCCAAGAATTTCAGAGCAGAGGTTGAATTTTCAGAAAGGGGTGGAAGGTTCCATTCCTTCCTCATGTTATGCCTTTTAATTTCCAAAATTTCCTCCAAACGGATTAAGAATAGATACTCCTGTGCTTGGAAAACTGGCCCCCTATCTCGCAGCTACGCCTGCGGGGAGTTACTGAATCCGCAGCTCGCAGCTGCCCGACCTTCTAATCCTGCAGACAGGTGGGCCAACGCCGGACGAGGAGGGGGCGGTCCGGAGGCGACTCCTGGACCTATAAACCGGCCTCCTCCGGTAGAAGCAGAAGGCGAGCACCCGGGGAGGGAGAGCGCCCACCGGAGCTCCTTTCCGAGGAAGGGGAAACTGGACCGGTTGACCACCTCCGCCCGTCGATGTCTGACCTCGAAGCTGCTCCGGGGGCTCCAGAGGTCGCCCTGGCCGCAGGTCCGCCCGGTCCGGAGGAATCCCTGGCACCTAACCTGGCCGGAGCGAGAAGCCAGCCGGCGCCCGAATGCCCCCTGCCCGTCGAGGCAACTTGGCAGAAGACCCAAGAAGGTGAGGGAGGCAGACGGGAGGCGGTGAAATGAAGACAAGGGAAGGAGGACTGCATGGCCCTCTTTCCTCCAGGCCACCCAGATAGGGGATGCGATGGATGGGTGGTGTGCTGGGTGAAGGGGGGAGCATTTCTCCCCACTCGACGTTCATCCTCCAAGAAAAAAAAAAGCAATATAAAACACTCATATTCCGATCGTTTCCTGTGATGCTGGCGACAACACTCTTTTTAAAAATCACCGCCTTTCTTCTACGGGGAAAGGGTTGTGCTAGGTGACAGGTAAAGCTAGCTAGAGATGATAAGCATTATAAATGGGATGACACTAAAATGGTGACAAAGTGCACTATGAGACAGGCACACAGATGCTGGATAGATGCTTGTGTTAAGACATCTGACACCAGGACATATTTCATAGCATTTGTTTGAATATGTCATTGGGCACATGTCATTTGCACCTACCTCACCCCCCAGATGCCCATGATCTTCATGCAATATGTGAGACCAGTCTAGTGCTTGTCAAGCCTTTGATATCTAGATCAGCCTGTCCCATCCTTGAATGCTGTGGATAATTTAATTCTAGAGTATTTAGATTTTCATTGGGCATACTTGGGAATTCTGTCAGGGGCTAGAACCCATCAAGCTGTGGAACATTGATCTAGGGAAAGCATAGATCTCATTAAATAAATGTTTCCGCATCAGTCACTCTTAATCACAGATATTGATGTCTGCCTTAAGTCTGGTTCCCAAATAATTGGTTGTACAGTTGAAAAGAGCCTCTTATATAAAGTTTCACCCAGTAGGAAACTCAGCACAACTAGACTATCTGGTTCAGTGGAAATCCCTATGCATGGATATATGTACACAAGAGCCCCTGAAATGTCAGAATGCATTGCCAAATGGAATCCACTGAAATTAGTCCATGGCACAGTACTCTACTCATAAATTCATCTGAGATGCTGATTACAATTAAAAGTTGTTTGCAACAGATAGTGATGTGTTTATGTTGATCAGCAAATATTCTTAGATTGTCCAGCTAAGCCATTCAGGGAGAACTATGAGTTAGCACAGCATAAAGATTGCACCTGTAGGAGTGGCAAATTATTTATTAATGCTTCTATATTTATAGTGGCAGCATCTTTCAGTGCACCGCTGAATTTGGCAGTAGAGGATGTGAATGACAGCTCTGTGACTCTAACATGGGATGGTCCTGAAAATGTGGGCCCTTCTGGTCTGGATGGATATGTAGTGGAATACTGCAAAGATGGAAGTAGGTTTGGTTTTATTCCCTTGCAAGCATGAAAAATTGCAGCATTGGGGTACCAACTAGCATGAAAGAATTGTTTCTCCTCTTGATAGTTGGCAGCCACAGTCAAAGAGAATACTATGGGAGAGGGATAGTTTTGATGTAATGTTCACTAAAATCTTGAAAACTGTTGCTCAGTTGTTTTAAAAAAATGTTATGTCTACTTCTGCTAAGTAGTAGCACACTTGATCACCAATTTACATACTTGCTCCATTATGCCATAATGTGAAACAACCACATTATAGGACTATAAAGTCTAGAATTTGACATGAGACTTTTTCTTAAAGAGTGTAAGGTGGGAAGATATTTCACAGAGGTAACTTCTCCTCTGCAAGTGTTGTGCTGGTTCTGTTCAACTGCTAAGTAATGCGAGCTGCACAGTGGGGCAAGAAATGTGCAAACATCCACTCAAATGTAGAATTACTTAAATAAGAGAAACCAGGAAATAAAAATCTTGGTTATCTGCCACATTTTTGTTACATCATTGGTGCATGATTATGCCCTTGTTTCAAACAGAATTTTTGTAACAAATCTTTGTATAGGAATGTTAGATAATATATAATGGAAGCTGCCAAAATGTCCCTCATAGGCATGCCATAGGTGCCCTGAAAAAACTCAGATTATCACTAAGTGGAACAAAGAGTGAATATTTGTTGCTGCCTTTTAATGATCATCCAAAGGTTTCCAGTTTATAGAGGAGGTCCTCGAATTCCTACGGTCATAAATTATGATGTCATAAAGCAGTTCACTAATGTGACTGACCCAATTTTACAACATTTATATATACACTTTTAAAAAAATTATGAAATCTGCTTCGGAAAACCTGGCTTAGGACATTTCATTTATGAACAACTCTATACAATAAGTAAAGGCTATATTGATGCCATCATAGGCTGAGTGGGTTTTTTAAAGATAGCTTCACAACATGTTATAATGACAATAAATGATGAATGAAAGCTGCTAAATTCATCTAGCATTGATGAGGTAGCAGCTGATTATTTCCCTTTTTCATTTTGAAAAGCAGATGGTTTACACAGATTGATTAGCTGAGGTGTTAGAGTTCTAATACAGGGGGACGAATAACTTCATATAAATACATTATATTGAATTTAGCTGTTGGCACTGCTTGTAGAGTATATTCTGTTTCAAACTGTTTGTGGAATATTTCATTTCGGCCAGTTTCAACTTGTATGAATATATAACTATATTGCATAGCCACTTGATGTGTTTGGAGGGCTATTATATTAGTTCACTGATTATATTTCTGATTGATTACAAATTATTAATCTTGAACCAAGTAACATATTTGTCAACATGATAGAAATGTCTACAAAGGAAGATCTAAATATACCTAAAAGCTTTCATGGTAACAATAAGGAAGTAAGACAATAGGGGTAAAAAACATGAGAGCTGAGATTCTGTGCAGTGCAGTGGTTAGAATGTTGGACAAGGAGTTAAGACACTCAGGTCCAAATACACTCTTGGCTGTGGAAGCTCACGGTGTATTTTTTGGCCCATCACTCTCAGCCATTTGATGTCACAGGGTTGTTGTGGGGAATAATTGCAACAAGGAGTGCTATGGGGGAAAGCTGGACTATATCTATTTATAAGTCAGTTAATATATATCTACTGTATTTGATCAGAAGTAAATTAGACAACATGACTTTGTATTTCCATATGATAAATAATTTCAAAGAGCCCAATCTCCTCTATACTGTACCTAGTCAAAAACATCTTCTTCTAAGCTCAGTAATCTTCTTCAGTTCTCATTTTTAAGTAAACTGAGTGGATTTTCTCAGTATTTCCAAACCTGGTGATTTCCATCTTCCATTGTTCCCAAACCATGTCAAATACCTCTGAAGAACATCAGACTTCAGAAGGCTACTTTTTGGGAAATAGTAAGTGTCTCAATGTTCCTGAACAGATTTTTAATATTTTTTGGTACAGAATTGCTTGCTGCTGATCTTTTTCCACATTTTTGTTTTAGCAACAAACTGGGTGACAGCCAACAAAAAACCCTTTCTTTGTATTCGTTACACAATCCACAATTTAATATCTGGAGAGAAACTTCATATTCGAGTGAAAGCTGTAAAAGATAATGCAGTTAGTCAACCAGCATTTCTAGACCAGCCACTTCTCATCAGAGAAATTCTTGGTATGTATCTGTAAATATGGGTGTGCATGTGTGCATGTGTGTGTGTGTGTGTGTTTATGCATTATCAGCATGTGCATATGCACATACAAGGATAGTGCCTGGGAGAAGAAATATGCCATAATTTTTCCAGCCAAGTTGTCTTTTGACCCACTGAGAAATCATTCTTCCCATTGAGTTTAATTTCAAAAAATGGCATGGAACAAAAAGCAAAAACAATCTCTTACCTTTTTTCATGTCTATCAATTGTCCTCAAACTGGCAATCCATAGTGATACATTTCAGTTTTTAAGAAGCCAGAAGATCTGTCACAGCACATCATTGATTCTTTATTACAGCCAAAGGCCAGTCACTTAAAATATTGTAGTCTGCAAGCACTAAAAGACAACAGAAAAGTACATAATAAAAGAGGTAGAGAGGGTGCTACAACTGTTGAGACAAATGGATTAACATTTTGCTGGCAACTATTCTTTGTCTGCAATGTTTCTTTGTCTGGATCTGAAAGAATGCAATTTAGAATTTCACTTAAAATATTGGCTGTATTAAAGCATTGGTATTTATATTGTTAGAGCTGAGCAGATGGACCATTTTAACAAGACGTCCTAATGTGAGCAAATGTGATATTCCTATTTTTGACAAACTATATTTGAAGCTTTAGGGATAGCTTTCAATTTCACGCCACCTTACAAAAATCATAATGTGGGCACTGCTTGATATAATCTAATACATGCAACTCATATTTTGTCACTAATAGTATTAATATTTTCATCCAAACCAAGATTGTAATGACTACGGTTACAATTGGGTGTCATTTTCTTGCTCTTTTATGTTTCCAGATTATTTGTTTAATATATATATATTAAATATAAATAGCAAGATTATTTATTTAATATATTTATTAAATGTGAATAAAATGTTTTTCCCAGTTTAAAATGGTAATATATATATAAAAAAACCCAATGCCGATGAGAGATATAAAAATGTGAAATAATCCCACAGTAAGCATGCAATGTAAACTTAATCAACTGCAAATGCAAAACATCCAATTATTTATTCCTGCAATTTATTTGCCACTTAGTTCCAGAAAAGCTCTGAGCAGTTTTCCAATGGTATAAAAGTAAAATAGAATTAGAAGAAGTAATCAACCTCCCAAACCCAATTTCCTCCATTTCTTGGCCACTGAGAACAATTCTAGCAGGAATGTTTGTTTATTGCTGGGATAGACCACAGCAGGTTTTCCAGGACTACAAGGGCTTGATGGTTTTCCAGAACGTCAATGGGGCTGGTGCTGTGGTGACTCTGATGAAGCACTATTCTGAAAGAAAGGAAAAGCTATAAAAGAAGTCATGCCCTTGTCTTGATGACTGCAATCCCACAAGGATGGCATTTAAAGGTTCTTTTCCCCACTGGATCTTATGCATGGGCAGAAACCTTTTGGAGAAGACAGTCCTGCAGTGTCCAAGTCCTGAACTAGAGGATTACTGATCACAAATTGATAAAATAAAATACTAACATAATTCAAGCACCCTGAGGAACAGACAAATCTTAGTATGAAGCAATGTGGCTGCCAGATTGCTCTCACAAATGGGGAAGGAAGGATCTCTCTCTAAGAACCTAGAATGAGTAAATATTGAGTAAGTATTAAATAAGTATTTGCAAGAATTACCTAAATTTAGCTTTCTACAGACCACGTTTGAAAGCTTAAAACTTGGACTTGGAACTGGACCTGATAAAGAATAGAAAGCCAGGGCAGACACGACATGACTAACATATTTTTGGAGGATTCGTGAGTAAGAAGAAATCTTACAGTAGATCTTGATTTATTTCGGATACTATCTATTCCAGTTACTGCATCATCAAGTCCACTGTCTACTATTTGACAAAATAATGTTGTTTGCTTTGGGATATTGTCTTTATTTAAAACTGTATATTAGTTGGAAAATTTCATCTCTTTGCAGCTGATAATAATGAAGACTGGTTTTTCAAAAACTGTGATAAGGTTAACCTGCAGTATATATCACATTGTACAGGTAGTTTCCACAGTTTGTTTAGTGGTCATTTGAAGTTAGAATAGCACTGAAAAAAGTGACTTATTATGACTATTTTTTACCCTTACAACCGTTGTGGTCATGGTGACACAGTGGTTAGAATGCAGTATTGCAGGCTAATTCTGCTGACTGCCAGGGGTTCAGTCCTCACCAGCTCAAGGTTGACTCAGCCTTCCATACTTCTGAGGTCGATAAAGTGAGGGCCCAGATTGTTTGGGAAAATATGCTGATTCTGTAAACCGCTTAGAGAGGGCGGTAAAGCACCGTGAAGCAGTATATAGGTCTATTGCAATTGCTATTGCGATTGTGGCATGCCCATGGTCACTTGGTCAAAATTCAGTTGATTGGCAACTGACTCATATTTATGACGGTCGCAGTGTCCTTGGGTCATGTGATTACCTTTTGCAGTCTTCTGACAACAAAGTCAACAGGGAAGCCAGATTCACTTAACAACCATGTTAGTAACTTAACAACTGCCATGATTTACTTAACAACTGTGGCAAGAAGGATCGCAAAATGGGACAAAATTCAGTTAACATATGTCTCACTTAGCAACAGAAATTTTGAGCTCAGTTGTGGTTATAAGTTGAGGACTACCTGTAATTTAAGTGCTATAGCATTTGCAAACAGAGAATCTAGAGCAAATTGTTCTTGCATTTGGCTGTTTAACTAACAAGATTGCTTTATCTATACCTCTGAGAACCAATTAACATAGAGTGCTTGCATTCTTACTTAGAGGCAATTAGGACCAACTGTGATGGTATCTTAAACCCTAAGGATTTTTTTTATATAATTAATTTTAAATTAGCTTTCTAATAGTATCATGTTTTAGCACAACTAGTTACTCTGGTTTTTCAATGACCAAAATGACAATAATGCTAACCTACTACATTGGAGTAGCCTATAATTATTGCAGTCTCCAAGTCTCAGCATTTTTTTTTAATTTAATCCTTTTAAGAGAGAAAAAAATCCTTCTGGCAAGATGTGACAATGTAAAACAGAAGACTGGCAGATAAAAAAATTAAATGTTCCAGATTTTCTTCATTTCAAATGTTGTCTTCCACCCCCCCAAGAAGAGAATTTCTTTACATCTATGGGAAGCTTCAATCTGGAAATTCAGTCTGAAGACATTTCAGTCAAATCGCTCCTTGGGTATGTCTAATTTAATGAAAAAAGGACTAGTGGTGACATGATAGCAGTGTTCCAATATCTAAGGAGCTGCCACAAAAAAGAGGGAGTCAAGCTATTTTCCAAAGCACCTGAAGGCAAGCAAGAAGCAATGGATGAAAAATAATCAAGGGGAGAACCAGCCTAAAACTAAAGAGAAATTTCCTGATAGTTAAAACAATTAATCAGTGGAAAGATTTGCCTCCTGAAGTTGTGGATGCTCCAATAATAAAGGTTTTTAAGAAGAGACTGGACAACTATTTGTTTGCTGCTTGAGCAGGGGATTGGACTATGAAGACCTCCAAGATCCCTTCTAACTCTGTTATTCTGAATCACAGTCCTAAATTGAAAAGATTTGATGAAAATCATGTCAAAATATTGATTCAATAATTCAAACTAACTCGGAAATTTCTCTGTTTTTTGTTTGAAAATATGAAAGGCCATAGAAGCTTCATAACCTGCAATTGATGAAGGTACCTATTTTAATGGGAAGCAGTGTAGTAACTGTTGATCATAAGGGGAAAAATCCAGAATCAAAACAGGCAGTATCTTTATTGGACCAACTAAAGTTGTACAAAAGTGTTGTTTACATAGCAGAAATTAGTAACATACTGATATAATTTTGCTTTGTCCAGAGCAGCCCAAGATCCGACTTCCACGCTACTTAAGAGAATTGTACCTGAGGACTGTGGGGGATATGATAAACCTCTTGATCCCATTCTGGGTATGTGAATCAGAATTCCTTTGCAATTATCTCTGCTCTTTTGGCCTTATCTGAGGAAGAAAGAGTTTTTAAATTCTGCCATTTATTCTGGAGCTCAAGGGAGCACACGTGGTGTTTCCTGCTGTTGTCCCCAGACACTATGCGGCATTTGAACAGTGTGTGTGTGTGTGTGTGTGTGTGTGTGTGTGTGTGTGTGTGTGNGAGAGAGAGAGAGAGAGAGAGAGAGAGAGAGAGAGAGAGAGAGAGAGAGGCCCAAGGTCACCCAGTGAGCTTCCATAGCTGTAGATGGTTTTAGAACCATCTGGGTCTTCCTGCTCCCAGTCAAGCAATTTAACCATTACATTACATCACATGAACATCACTGAAGAGACAAATGTGAACAGAGAGTAGCATCACCTACACAGAAGTGAGTTGTAGCAAATGGGATTTACTGGGAAAATAGAATTAGAGAAGAAGGAATTGACTTGATTTAAGTTTTGGAAGAAATCTAACTGCCCTTGAAGATGTCTAGTTGAATGAGAGGAAAGCTAATAGGCTAGAATTCAGAGGAGCAAGTTAGGTCTACAGGCAGAATGCTACACAAAATATGAAATCCTAAGGTAATGCCCAAATTATTATTCTGACAGTCTGAATAATTGACAAGTTTTGGGTTCATAAGAGCATTTGATTTGTATCTTGCCAGGCTTGTGAAAGCTATCATTTCTTAGCAGTTGATCTTTGAATACTGAAATGTATCCTCTTTTACCTAACAGAATCTCCCTTGTTAAAAAGGAGGTTGCCATCTACATTCAGAAAGCACAAGCAGTATTCTTTAGTCCAGTAATGGAGTAGAAGGTTGTAGTCCAGAGTCTAAAATAGCTCTCTGCCAAAAATAGGAAGCCATGTGGATTAGCACAGAGAGGCTTTGAAAGGGGTGTAGCACTCCATGCATTTCCTTGGTTCTTGGATATTTGCAGACTGAATCAACTATGGACCTAGACCCCTCTCTCCAAAGAGCAGCTGCAGTTTCATTGGACTCACATTTGTATTAATATTAGCTAACCTTTATTTTGTTATTGATGTTGTTCTTTATAGCTTAGAACGCAGGAGTTCTAGGGAAATTTTTTTCACCATTATCTAGATATAGATTTCAGAGCGTGATACAGTAAGAAAAAGAGATTACACAATTGTATTACAATCTGTCATTATTATTATCAATGCATAGCATGCATGAAATACAGAGTTTATCACTTATTTGCACATAAGAAAGTCTGCAGAAGTCTCTTGGTAGGCTATATAAATTAATACATAAACTTTATCTATAACATCTCAATCAAGCAATCAGGAAAGAGCAATAAAAATACATATATCAATGTAAAATGCATAATCAAGGAAAACAAAACCAAACATCTTGGTGGTTCTATAATCACAGTAACAAATATATTCATTAAAATGGGTGTTGTTAAAGCTTCTACCTAACAAAGTACATGGGAGTTCAACAACAAACAGTAATAAAGTATTTAAAAACCTCAGCAACAAAAACAACTATTTCACAAGCCAGAGACTTGCTTAATTCCAGAAAAGCTCTGAGCAGTTTTCAGATGAAAGTAAAATAGAAAAAAATAGAAGAAGAGGTAACCAACCTCCTAAACCTAGCTTCCATCCATTTCACAGCCACAGAAAACAATTCTGGCAAATAGAGAGTCAGTTTGGTCTAGTGATTAAGGCACCAAGCTAGAAAATGCTCCATGCTAGGACATGAGTAGAACTGCATTGATGTATCTTAACGTTGGGCAGAGATAGACAGGGACAGGTTCTTCCTCAAATATTAGTGTCCCAAGCCATTTAAGGCTTTAAATCACCAGAAATGTTTGAGAAGGTAATGGGTTTTTTTCTGTAAAATTGATGTTAAATCATTGCTGTATTCTCCATGCTGAATTTTGCAGTAGAGGGTGCCTTTTACTTATCTAAACAGGGCATCCCTCCTATGAACAAGTCCTTCCCCCATCTCCTGACTCACATACAGAAGATTTAAACAAAAACAATGGCATTCAAGTAATAATATATCAAGAGCTATTGACATCATAGAAATGGAAATATTCTTGCTTTAAAAATTCAAGACTTAGATATTTTTAAAATAAATGCCTTCCTGTAAGTGTTCCACCTCTGAATGAGCTTATGGAAAATATGTTCCTGGATAATGGAAAATGTGATTCAATATTATAGTTTAATCACAGAGAGTGAAAGCAAATTAACTATGGTTTTTGGGTGGAATTTGAATGTATTTTTCCCCATGAGATTTTTAGTCTTCTAAAGTAAATTGGCTTCATCTTTGAAACCTGGCCTTAGATATCCTGCTCATTGGTATTTTAATAAGCATTGGCCTACTGTGAATCCTCATGAAAAGCTGCAAGATGCAAAATGCTGTGGTAGATTAAACTTTGTTTGTAAACCTTCATTAAACAGAATAATATTTAATATTATCCATTCATTTTCATGTCCATTTCTTAGGGAAAGCCAAAGCCACAAGTGACCTGGACCAAAGAAAGCCAACCTTTGGACCCCAAACGAGTTGTTGTACGCAATACTGAGAAGGATTCTGTATTCTTTATGCGTGCAGCACAACGTAAAGATTCTGGAAAATACCAAATAAGTGTTAAGATCTTAGATGAATTTGAAGATGTGGCTACCTTTGATCTCCTGGTGATTGGTAAGGACAATGAAGCTATATGGGCTGATAAATTATCTAATATTTGAATGGTATACTATAGATGCTTTTCCATTGAAGCAAGCGTCTCTAAAATGGGAATCCATAAAGTTCAAATTATTATGGGATCAGCTGTTTCTACTATAATTGGACATTGGAGGATTGATTGTGATGTATTCCTTCTATTATAGTCTTTCTTCTATTTACATAATTATTTAAATGAAAATTTTAAATATGAAAGATTAAGAGTTGTTTTTGCTTATATTAAAGCTATACCCCCAAAAATGGTTGAAGATGGGGCTAACAGGGAATCTTAGTTTGAAAGAGACTCATATTCAGACATTCTTATAGTCCTTGTTTAATAAATATTCAGCAACCATTTGTAGTTACAACAACTGAATGAGTGGTACTTATGACTAGACCTCAAAGTTCCGATCTTCTCAGCACCCCTGCAGTCACATGATGGTGATCTGGGCGCTTGGCAACTGGCTCACACATATGATGGTTGCAGCGTTCTGCATCACACAATCATCCTTTCCAGCCTTCCTTGCTGGCTTCCCACAAGCAAATTCAAGGGGAAAGCTGGCTGGGAAGATTGCAAGTCATGCAGCTAAGTTGCTCACACTCTCTCCCATCCAGCAGCAGCCATCCCCAACTTAGCCCCTTACCTGCCAGGTGACCTGCTTGCAAACCAACCAACAAGGACCAGCAATCCTTGTTTAACAACAGCAACAGGGAGTGTCAGAATTGCCACTGTTAAGCGATGTGGTTATGGGATGTTGAGCTTTACAATTGCTTCACTTAGCAATGGAAATTTGCATCCCAATTACCATTGTTACCTGAGGATTACCTGTTCAGTATTTTGTTTTCTGTTGGAAAGTGAAGTGAAAGTGAATGTTAAAGCAGGCAGAAAGTTCTATGTTTAATCTTCAGTATCTTCAGAAAGGGTTGGGAAAAACCCTTGACTGTAACTCTAGAGACTGTAACTCCAGTCAGCATTAACAGTATTGGGCTAAAAAGAAATGTGACAGTGTTTTGTCTTGCTATGTATTCTGGTGTCTCTTTTGCATTAGTCTGGTTACACTGTGTTTCTCTCTCTCTCTCTCTTTAGAGAAACCAGGCCCTCCTGAGAATCTGAAGGTGGTAGACACCTGGGGCTTTAATGTGGCATTAGAGTGGAGCCCACCCCAAGATAAAGGCAATGCTGATCTCAAGGGCTACAAAGTCCAAAAAGCAGATATGAAGACTCAAGTAAGAGCTATTAAGTGCACAAAATACAGCCTTTAAAAAAAAAGGGGGTTAAGAATGGGGGAAACTAGAACTAAAGATCTTGCAAGGATAATGGTGTTTTTATAGCCATCCTCAATACATATGCTTCAATGGATTTAGCTAACCTATTACTATATCATTTATGATAAGTTTTTACCTTAATCAAAACTTAGAATATTATTTATCAGCTGGTATAACCCAGCAAACGTTGTTTATCTTTCAAGCAATATTCTTTCATTTAGGCCAGGGGTCCCCAACCTTGGCCACTTTAAGACTTGTGGGGTTCAACTCCCAGAATTCCTCAGCCAGCAGGAGTTGAAGTCCATAAGCCTTAAAGTGGCCAAGGTTGGGGACCCCTGATATAGGCTATGTCTGCCTAGGCCCTGATTTGGCATAGACTGGAACTAAGGGAAGGAACCATTCTAGAACATTAGAAAGACTTTTCTGATGGATTGCTAATACCTTCCTTTCATTACATAATTTTATTCAAACATTATACAAGTAGAAGCATACGACTACAATTGGGATCAGAATTTCCATTGCTAAAAGCTGGTTGTTAAGTAATAATAATATAATAATAATAAAGTTGGAAGGGACCTTGGAGGTCATCGAGTCCAACCCCCTGCCCAGGCAGGAACCCTACACCATTTCAGACAAACGGCTGTCCAGTCTCTTCTTAAAAACTTCCAGTGTTGGAGCATTCACCACTTCTGGAGGCAGGTTGTTCCATTGGTTAATTGTTCTAACTGTCAGGAAGTTTCTCCTTAGTTCTAAGTTGCTTCTCTCCTTGATCAGTTTCCAACCATTGCTTCTCGTCCTGCCTTCAGGCGCCTTGGAGAATAGCTTGACTCCCTCTTCTTTGTGGCAGCCCCTGAGATATTGGAACACTGCTATCATGTCCCCCCTCATCCTTCTCGTCGTTAAACTAGACATACCCAATTCCAGCAACCGTTCCTTATATTTTTTAGCCTCCAGTCCCCTAATCATCTTTGTTGCTCTTCTCTGTACTCTTTCTAGAGTCTCAGCATCTTTTTTACATTGTGGTGACCAAAACTGGATGCAGTATTCCAAGTGTGGCCTTACTAAGGCATTGTAAAGTGGTATTAGTACTTCACGTGATCTTGATTCTATCCCTCTGTTAATGCAGCCCAGCACTGTGTTGGCTTTGAGCCTTGCCCGAATTTACAACCCTTTTTTGCCATGATTGTTAAGCGAATCACTGCAGTTGTTATGAATCATGAGGTCATTAAGTGAATCCAGCCTTTTTTGGAATTTCTTACTGGTCTTGATTTCGTTACCATCAATTAATAAGATCATCTTTGGCATAAAATTAACTCCCACCTATATAGAATTTGCCCCCAGCTGAATTAGGGGTTGGAAATGCGGTGAGGAAATGAATAAGAATAATGTTACATTATGGAAAATCCCTGGAATAGTTTTTAAAATCTTTTAAAAGTACAATTAATTGGGTCATACCTCGATATGGAAAATGAAGGTAAATCATGGTTAAAAAAATAGTACAGATTTTTTTAGCTGCTAATCAACCATAGTAAATAACTTTATAAATCAACGTCTATTTAGTCTAGCAGATATATTTCCCTTGGGAATCTTTCTTCAGTCCTCCAGAAATAATAATATGGCAATATAGTTTGCCTTTTTAACAGATGTTGTTGCTGACTGTGTATTCAAAATCCCTGAGACAGACTTGGTTCCTCAGCTATTTCTTTAAACCTGGGGTTGTGGCATGTTTGGTAGAAATACACTTTGTTATATTTCTATTTGTATATATGTCTTGAGATGTACGATCTCACACAAAAACATAGATATATATATCATACAGTTAGCATATATATACTTCTAAGTAGTAACATGTGAGAGCTGTCTCTTTAACCCCTATATGTAATTTGGGAGTCAAGGCTAAATCATTGCTCTTGCCTTTTTTAGGCCATGCAAAAAACATAACTGGTTTGTGCAAAATGTTGAATTTCCTGAACTGGGTGCTTTAATGTTTAAAGGTCCTTCTGCCTTGTTCCGCAGCAATGGTTCACAGTTTGGGAACATTACAACCATACAAGCTGCACAGTATCTGATCTCATCATTGGCAACAGTTACTCTTTCCGAGTTTTCTCAGAAAATCCTTGTGGTTTAAGTGAAACGCCTGCTGTCACAAAGAATGTAACGCACATAACAAAATCAGGTAAGTCTAATGAAGCATGGTAGAAAAGTAGAAAGATCCTGCTGTTTCTTCATTACAGGTGTGGGCAACTTGAGACCTCAGAGGTATAAGTGGCGCTCCAAACTATTCAAGATCCCAGATCTTCCCAGATCAAGCCATTACATTTTGGGAATTGGCAGTACTGGGGTGGGACATTGTCAGTGGGGTTGGGCCGGTGTCACAGGGTGTGGGGCAGTGAGGGGGGGACAGCAGCCCTGCACAACAATCCCAGTTTCTCATGTGGCCCTTGGGAAAAATAATTGTCTACCTCTGCTCAGGGTCATTCTTCTATCCATTATACTGCTGACTCTTATATTAAACTGAGTGGTTATTTTGAATTTCTTTCTCATACTGTCTCTTTTTTGCCTTAACTGTTCTTGCATACCCTTTTCAAGGTTATCTGTGCACACCTCTAAGTTAAAGAACCCCCAAATTCATCTGCAGAATCCCCAATTCTTTAAAACTTTTGGCCCCTTCTTTATGAATGAGTCATTTATTCTCATTTTTACATTGTTACCCTCATCCTCCATGAAAGATTACCTGCCCCCACTTTATGTTAAATTGCTTTTTGATTCAAAAGATCTCAAAATAAGGTCTCCCTGTTTTTGTAGGAATCGTGTACAAACCAGAGAAGTTCTGTAGCCGGGATTTCTGTGAACCTCCCAAATTCACTCAGCCACTGATAGACAGAACCACCACCCAGGGCTATAGCACCCAGCTCGTCTGCTGTGTCCGAGGCTTCCCAAAGGTGGGTTCTGTCATGGGATGGGATGCCTACTGGACTGCAACAAGATAGGATACCATAGCAGGTATAGGAAGGGTAGTGAACGGAGATAACTAATCTCTTTTGCCCTTAAAAAGAAAGAGGGGTTAGGTAAGTTACTTTCTTACTGCTGTCTATAATGCTTTGTTGTGTATTATTTAACCTACATTTACACAATGGTTTATTTTCTTTTGTAAAGGTTTTCATCAGAATTTGCATTTAAAAATATCAACTTTTTCCCCTCAAATATTTGTTTCTAAATATTCTTCCTCAGAACATATGATTTTCAATATATCTATCTAAATCAGTGGTTCTCAACCTTTTTAATGCCGCGACCCCAACCGGTCATAAGTCGAGGACTAAACCGGTCGTAACTCAAGGACTAAACTGGTCGTAAATCGAGGACTACCCAACCGGTCGTAAGTCGAGGACTTTCCCTGCCCGGGAGCGCCGCACATGCGTGGTTCCGCCCCCTGCGCCGGCCGAGGCGTAGCTGGCAAGCGGCAGAGACGGAGCAGGCCGACCACCAGCTGGCCCAGCCCAAGGGAGGTAAGGCACCCACCGGAAAAGGGGAAAAAAATGGCGGACAAAAAAAATGGCGGACAAAAAAAATGGTGGACAGCCTTGCTTGGCGATCCCCGTGAAATGGTCGATCGACCCCAAATGGGGTCCCGACCCACAGGTTGAGAACCACTGATCTAAATTGTATAAATAAATCTTGCCAGTACTTTATTGAATTGAGAACTGGATCACTGCACTGCATCACTACAGGAAATGTAATAGTAATGGATAGCTATATTTCAATCCTCAGATTAGATTATATCCTCATGTTCTTCACATCAGACCTTGAAAAAGTCAAATTCCCCAAGCATCAGGCTCAGTAGTGTCAGCTTCCCATTTCCCTCCGCAAGCCCATATTTGCTTACACTGAAAGAGATTCCACCTCTTTTAAAATTTTATGAAGCAAAGTGATGTGAAAGATAAATTCAAATAGTTGTAGACAAAATGTCTGACTTTCTGGATACCCGACAGTTTTTTCAGAATTATAGTAGCTATAGAATTCAGATAGATATGTAGTTGTTATACAGCAAATAGAGGATCAATGATGCAAACTACAATAATACTGGTAGATAACTTATATAAATTAGCCTTACTGAATGCAGACAAGGGACTTACGAATAGAAAAAGTAATGAAGAGAAATAGTTTATATACCTATGCTAACGACTGGGGAGCTTATCCTGCTGAGCTGCATTTTGAAATATTTATGCACTTTGGTGCCTTTACTTGATTTTAGCCCAAAGTGATCTGGATGAAAAACCAAAGGGAGATTCAAGAAGATCCAAAATATCTAGTGCACATGAACCAGGGGATTTGCTGTCTAGAAATCCGCAAGCCTAGCCCTTTTGATGGTGGTGTCTATACATGCAAAGCTGTGAACCCTTTCGGTGAAGCCTCTGTAGATTGCAAATTGAATATAAAAGGTATGTATGTATTTTATCTCTTGTTTGCATTTGAATGCTTTGTTGCAATTCCAATATATAAATAAAGTTGTGGAACCTCTGAATGATTTCCATAGAGACTTACAATTCTTTGTGTATAGAAATTTCATGCATTATCATAAAGAAGGCAAAATACAAAAAAGGCTACATTAAATAGTGATGACACAGTGAAGAGATCCTAATATATTATAATCATTAAACTGAACCAAAGGGATAAAATGTTGACAGGTTGCCAAAGTTTACTAGATAGAATTGAAATCCAGTGATCTGCCATCTATTTATTTGATTTCTGCAGTTACTTCCTTCTAGGACATGTCCAGAATTACTAGCTTACATGGCAGTTAGTACTTCCAGGAGGGATGACCTCACATACAAAGAATATTTCTTAATTTCCCAAGGAAGCATTACATGGCAAGTGACAGTATGGTGATATCAGTCCTTAATATAAAATAGGAGTGGTGATAATTGTTGCCAGCCAACTAAACAAAATTTAACTTCTCGCACAACTCTTTCAACTATTCTTTTAAACTGCTTTTTGGTGGAACAGAGTGTTGGACTCCCTCGATTATTTATATATTTATTGGTTTGGATTATATGCTGCTCTATGTCCAAAGACTCCAAGAGACTTAGAATATATCAACATAATAAGATTAGGATTTTTAAATTTCATAACGATGGACTTAATCTAGTGGGCCACTATTCAGGGTTAGCATGATGCTCATTTATTGCCAAAAACCTTTCTGAGGAGCCATGTAATGTAACAGGAAAGGAATGTGGTCCAGATAGTTGGAGGGAAGGCTGTTCCAAAAGAGGAGCCTGCCTCTAAAAAGTTCAGATATGGGTCCCTCCATATGACATTCTTCCATAAGGCCTCTCTGTCAGATCATATAATATTGGGTGGATTTAACTCAGAAAACTAACTTGGAAACTAACTTGCAGCCATTGGGGCTCCTGTAGTACATAATAGTGTTACATTGGACAAACTTTGTGTGTCTTTAACAACCTGGACTCATTTTCAGAGAGTATTCAATGGAAACTCCATGTGGAGCAAATTACAGCAGTCCAGTTGTAATTTGCTCTGCATAGGGCTTCAGTCTGCAACTAGTGTACAAGATATAATTGTACAAAGCCCCCCCCTCCCCCTCCCGGTCATGACCTTCACTTACTGTTCAAGCAGGAAACTTGATTTCATGAGGATCACTAGATTGTGAACTAAGTTCTTCCAGTGAAGCCTAGCCTCAGATTCATCTGACTTTGGGATCCATAGCCATTTGCTGGGATTCAGGGTATGCCTATTTCCACCAATAGTCTCCAGGCACTGGATCAAGACATGAACTGCATCTCCTATCCACATTAGAGTGGAAATATATAAGTGGATATCAACCACAAATGATGCAACTTGATCTGGTGGCTTTGTGTAGATATTAAACAGCAGAAGGAGAGGATTGAGCCTGAACACTCCATAATAGATTATTTGAGGGTTTGCCCTCTCCCCATCATAATTAACTCTTAAAATAGGAGTTGTTGTTTTTGCAAGAGATGTGAATGGGAGACTGTGGGTGAGTTTTTCTAAAGGCTTTATAACTCCAAGTATTAATCGACATATTTTATGTCGTGCAAGCAGATTTGGGCAATCTGGTTCATCCAGATTTTTGGAACTATGACACTTGCAAGCCTTAACATTTGCCAAGATTAAAGTGAGTTGTAATTCATAGAATCTGAAGGATACCAGATTGCCCATTCCTGCTGGTAGGATTGGCACAAGATGTCTTGTTTCTCCTCCTCCCCCATCTGCTTTGATTTCTATCACCTTAATTGCTTACAGAAACCATATTATTTTTTTTATTATTATTATTTATTGAATTTATATCCCGCCCTTCTCCTTGCGGACTCAGGGCGGCTGACAATCAATTAAAAATACACCAATAACAATTACAAAATTAAAATTAGTTAAAAGGAAATATTTAAATGTTGTCTAATTAAAATATGATTAAAACCCCTCTAAAAATTGCCCTAGGCCAGTCCCGCTTGTTGGAATAGC